ATACTAATATGGGGAAAATAGGTAGCTGTGCGTGAAAAATTTTTAAACTCAACTTATCCCAGTTCTTAGCAGATCTGTCGCAAATTTTTCTTTCAGATTTGTTGAGTAGTGGAACTAGTTGTGTGTAATAATTTTCAAATACAAACATCAACAAATAAAGAAGGGCCAAGTTCAGCTGCAAAATGTGCTTACGTAAGGTATATGAGTGCTAAGGAATATTTTAAACCGACTTTATCCAGCTTTGACATTTCAATATATCATTACTAGTAAAAGAGGCATTAAGAAAGCTCACAAATTGATCAAGATATAAAGTACAAAGTCGAGCTTCCCGAATATATTTATATTAGGTATATTAAGTATTTGCGGTATGAGGAGAGTGTTGAACCAACCGTACTCAATCTTAGCACAAGCGGATGCTGTCAAAAATTAAATATTGGTATTAAGAAGTCTATCTGGATAATGGATGTTTGTTCTCTCCATACGGCAAGCGCAACTGCTGCAGAGTTTGACTCCGTGAGCCTCGAAAAAACATGGATCTATTTATACAAATCGGGGTAGTCGAAAAAGTACACTTTATGGCTGCTCCGAAGAAGGCTGAGGCTGTCCTATAACCGGAAAGGTCCTGGCCACCATTTTCCGGGAGCAGTAATCTAAATCAACTATCTAAAGGTGTTCAAACGCTCACATAGCTCAGATTACTATTTCATTATCCTTACACAGACTTCAGATTGAGCATCGCTGGGTTAAGTGTATCGATGAAAAAAGAAATCATAGTTTTTCTAAAATTACTGTTATTTATGCTAAGCACCTATCGCACCGCCTTCGTGTGTTTATTGCATTGAATATACAAAAACACATAAATCTTTATCGTATTGATACCATAACGTAAACTTCCCCGTTTCGGAACTTCAACAACAATAAATTACCGTTGTTATATAATATTGGATATTGCCTATCCATACCCATAGCTTCTTAAGACATCTGAAACATCGATACTGATGTGCCTCTGTCTGCTGTTCCATTAAATTTTTCAATAAATTACAAAAATAACACTCCTAAATGTCTAAAAATTTGTAAAAAAAAAAAATTGCGAAAATGTAAAGGCCTCCTTTGTCGTTACACGTTAGTTTTGCCGACAATTATTTGTGGGCTCGGCACTAAACTGTGAGCGAAGCCGCTAACGATGTCCACAGTATGAAATTGGTAAACATGGTTGCCAAAGAAGATGAATTTACTGACTTTGAAATATAAAATACGTTTTGAAATAAAAATATAATTGTCAATTGACAACAACTTAAATTGAAAATATCTTCATGCGTTCACTGAAACCTGGCGGTATAGTTTGCGCGGATTGGTGAAGATTCAAGTATTCCCTGAAATATGTGACATGGTAATTAGATCAAAGGATAAAACAAGATCCTTTTGGTTAAACAATTCTTAAAGATTAAGAGTAATAATATCCACTTCGTAAAGAGCTGAACTCAGTTTTCTTAGACAAGATTGCTTGCTGATAAGCTAGCGCCTATATTGCTGCAATGAGATATCAATACCTGAGGGGTACGCCTAAAACCATTTGATTTCTTGTCACAAGCAACACGCTGATGTCTACATATATTATTTCTATTTTTTTTTTTTTTTTTTTTTTTTTTGTCTAAGTAACTCGATAATAACAGGTTGTTAAAAAGGTCTTGCGGTATTTTTATTGAATTTTTCGATTGTTCATAAAATTTTTTTTGTTGACTCATGCCCAGCTCTTGACCGATGCTACGGCTGCTACTATACCGGTCCAGTCCGGCCTCTTTCGACCAATTCAGCGATTTTATCGCAATTTTCGACGACAGGCCTTCCGGAGCGTGGCGCATCTTTGACCACCACTACACCAGAACGAAAACGTTGAAACCATCGTTGTGCAGTGGAAATGGAAACCGTATCGGGTTCATAAACTGCATAAATTTTATTGGCGGCTTGAGATGCATTTTTGCCTTTATCGTAGTAGTACTGTAAAATATGTCGTATTTTCTCTTTATTTTGCTCCATGCTTGCGACGCTATAACTCACGAACGACTTAAAAGAAACGACAATCAATCAAACACGTGTTAGCGCGTGAAATGAGCTTTCCAAAAAGGTTTAGCATGACCCGATGCGACGAATAAAACTAGAACTACGCGCTCTCAGCACCAACTAGCGAAAATACCGCAAGACTTTTTTGACAACTTATATATATACATTTATACATATGTGCATATGTATTTTTAGATGCATAATTTAAAATCACAAGCATTTTCAACTTTGTGATGCAAGTAATGCATTAAAAACTAATTGAATTAACTTTTGTAAAATCTTATTTTTTTAGTTTGTAAAACTCACCGACTCAGTTTTATCTATTTTAGCCAATACCACATACTATTAACATGCCATACTGGGGTCCAAATATTCGGTACCTAGGGGCTTGAACAGTTTTTGTTGGATTTGGACAAATTATGGCCATTAGGCTGCATGTGCTAAAAGTTTTATTGGTGCAATGTTTTATACCGTTATATGAATTGCTTCTTGCTTTGTACAGTGACAAGGAAAGAGTCACATTGGTATTAAAATTGTATTATATGGGAAGTAGGTATATGTAGTTCTATTTCGCCCCATACTTTCAATTGATATATCCCGCAGTCTTAACAATACCGTTATATGGGGAGTGGGCGGAGTTATTACCCTATCACATATTGTAGCTTTAGTGGTCTAGATGACATGTGCATTAAACCTACTAAAAGGCGGGGCCATACCTTTTTTTTATAAATTTTTGGTACATATGTCTCCTGCTACTGCGATCTTAATTCAGTGCTTAGTTATGGCATTTTATACGTTTTCCTTTAGTGACGTGTAATGGGCGTGGCACTGGTTGGACCACTACATCTACCAATCTACGAATTCGCCTTTCTTTTTGCCAAGGAAATGTCTGCCAAGTTTTATAAAGATATTTTTATTTTTACAAACAGAAAGTCACCCGGATTTCTACTGTGTTTATTATCCTGATCATATATCCTACTACACTATACCAATCTCGATTAGTTTTAGGTGATACGTACATCCGTTAAGTGAACGAACATATTATGCTCTGTAGCAGGATATTGCAAGAATGTAAATATGTTTATCGGTTGAAAAAGAAAACAACAAATAAGGAAGTTCAAAGTTCAAGTGTAACCAAGTATTTTATACTCTCACAAGGGTCTAAACCAGAGAAATACTTTCAAAGTTGCAAAACTTCATATTTAGGAATCTTACGAAGGAAATATGCATTTATTATTATTCGACGAAACAGTCAATGGGTTATAATTATTATTAAATTATGTTATAGGTTGTAGACTCACTAAGTAGCATTATTATATTTTGCTTCATATCCGAGTTATTGGTACTAAAACCAACCCAGTTAACTCCAATGAGATGGGATTGGATACATCAGAAAAAAATATGTTAAGGAAAAGGGGTCTAGACTGGTTTCATTTATATTCAGCGCTAAATTCAATTATGTTTGTGTAAACATTGAGATATCACATACAGTGGCGATACTCTAACACGTTAGAGACATGTATATTCCACCAGTTAGAACTGTAATTTTTTTTTTTAATGTTGTGTGTGAAGATCATATTTTACTTGTACTGCAAAACTGCAAAGATATTATGCACAGCGAAAATTAAGAACAACTGAAATGTTACAAATATGCTCGCGCGTTTATTACCGATATTTTTTGTACTTGCGATGAGAACACCTAGTATTTTAATTGTTAAGTGATAATTCAGCTTTTCAGAAGAAACATGACAATGCAGAAAGAAAATAAGGAGAAAATTTTCAAATTATTAAAGTAGAAGCAATTGAGCTTGTATAGAGTGGAAAAAGCATAATGATATTGAAATGAAACTTATTACAAACTGTGCAATTATTCCATGGAAACTATCATTTAAGTCTAGTCGAATTCAATGCACACCTATTCCACAATACACCGATTGCGAGAGGCTTTCGGGACACTATTAATTACAAATACCAATAAATTAGTTATATTAGTCAATAAAGTTCAGTGTACATTTACCTACTAATAAAAACAGGACCTCGTGTTAAATGTGAAAGCAAGTATCTTAAAGAGATAAAGGGAGAGCATATGCTCCGCGACTTTACATCTATTATGCCTGATTCTTTTTCGTTTTTTAATTCAATCCCAAAGCCCTCCGAAAACATAGTAAGCTTCATGGGTGGACTGATTTCACGTAGCTTTGCTCTGTTTCTAGGGCTTTTACTCACAAATCCCTTTGGTTTTTTTTTTTTTTACTAAACAACATTATCTTTTCTGGTGTTGTAGCTGTTATAAAATATTTCGATTGTCTTATTCCGTCATTCCTAAAGCAATACCTGTCTCTTTTCCTCATTTTTTAGTTCTTTTTTTTATCGTATGAGGGTCTAGGGGAAAGCAAGTACATATTATTTCAAAGTTTTTATAAGGCATAAAAATAAGTTACATCAACAAATGCTACAAGCACGCTAGGGGATAGTAAATATAACTGTTGTCAGATTGCGGAAGTGTTAATTTGACGTTAAGTAAAGCTTATTTTGCGTAAGAAAATATATTTGCGCTAGTTATTATTTCGTAATAGCGAAATATTTGAATAATAACTTCCTGTGCTTACGTAGAACATAGAACAAGAACATGTTTACCAATGAGCAATATTAGGTATTTGGTAAGTATTCACGGAAATTGTGAAATATGAACAGTTGGAGTGGGCGTAGAGAAGAATATAGTTGCAAACGAATTTAAAACAGATTTTGAAAAAATATTCTACGAATTATTCTTTGAAAAATAGTCTACATTCTACTACTTGTGCATAACTCCATTAGGGAAGAAAAACTGCTCTACTTCAGTAAATGTATAGTATTATATAAGTATATAAATAATATATTTTTATTTTAAGATTAAAAGGATATTTTACAAATCCAATACTAAATCAATTTGGCTTCAAATATACACCAAAATAATAATGCATAATATACAAAATAACAGTATTTTCGCTATGAATAAGTGAACTTAATACAATCAGGTGCATAAGTTTCTAGAACTAAACTATGTCCAATAACGAAATATAAATGTTAACAATTAAAAAAAAAGAAAGCTTTTAACATATACTTCAGTCTATCATCTCAAAGTGCCAATCGAAAGAGGTCAGCGAGAAAATAAGTTAGAAACGGGCAAAAGCCACCAAACTTATTGCAATGATTTTGCAGCTTCCTTTCATTCCCTCCTCAGCCGAATAAATTTGGCACAAATAACTTCTTGTGCTTGCCATTCGTACGATTATTCTTAGCAGCATTCGACCTTGCGCTATTAACTCTAGACGACACAGTATCCACGCGTCTATTCGCGTGCAGGAGGGACTCGGGTATAGCGGTTATATAACCATCCTCGACGTAGTAGTAGCCACGACGCAAGCGACTCAGATGATAGTCGGTAATCGGTTGTCGATAGGGTACTATATAGTCATGCTCAATCCTATCAAAATAGCCGTCTACGTATGTTACAGCAGGCTTGGCATCTGCAACGGTAATGTAATTGCCGACACAAATGAGAAGAAAAGTGAGGCAAGCTCGTGCGTAGTATATCTGAAATGGTGAAGATGAAATGTGAATGTGTTATTTGCCTTCAGTGAACATATTATCGTTTTATTTCCTCTTTTATTTATGTTTTTTGATATAATTATTCAGAATTTTTATATTTAAATCAACTCAACCGAATATTCTTATTCAAACAATTATTTTATCCTTCCAGCTCAGCAATTATATTATTATATATAATATTTTGTTATAAAAATATGTGGTTCGATTGTTTTAAATGAGCAGATTTCAATACTTTTTTTAATACATTAAATTCTACATTATTATATGTAAGAATTTTTAGTGCGTCAGCGCTTTAAAGAATTCAACACAAATTTTAAAAAATTAAGCGATTGAAAATTTCTTTGTTTCACACAAAAGTATAAACTGTTTTGCATCCTTCTTTCTATTATTAAATCAAAACCATATTTTTGTAATTATATAGAAACTTAACACTCAAATATTTATCTTCAAAAAACTTTGCGCCTTTTAGTTGAATTTTCAACTCACTTTAAAATTCATATTTGGAATATAGTCCAAATCTGGAAACGACGTTCTTAATACACAAAGATTTCACTGTTAAATTTCGGTATTTCAAATCAAAAGTTAGTATCACTTCGCAATTTCGCAGAGTTCTAGAGTTCTAGAATTATTTGTATTTCGCCGAGTTGGATGTGCTTTGATGGTCAAATGCGTTCTGATTAATAGTCCACCAACGCATATTTTCTTTATATACCCATTAGCATAGGCGTGTACATCCGAGTAAAGTATTCATAAACAAACGAAAGCAAAAGCCAATTACCGCCATGCCATTTCTATGTACGTATGTATGTGTGTATGTAAGGCCCATTAAGTCAGTATTTATTCGCGTATTGCTGTGAAGTGTTAGCAATTCCTTTTTCCTACAATTATTTACGTTGTGGTTGTGGCTGCTCAAATGCCGTCGCCGTATTTGTTCTAAATGAGAGCAAGATTTGTGAACGCCCGCCACCCAACATGACCGCAAGCAGGTACACTCCGACTGAGGCACATTAATGAGCATTGAAATGTTTGCATTGTATATCATACATACATACGTGTATGTGCTACAGTTCGTATTGGAATCTAACTTAATTTTTGTTTACGCCAATTTCAAAAGTGAGGTTAGGATGTGCATTACACACATAACAGCTATTTGTTGTTTACTGTGTATATATTTATTGTGTATATTATTGTCATTATTATTATTCTTTTTTTGTTGTAATAAGCAATTAATATGCGCAAATTGCTGGCGAAAATATAAATAAATACGAATACTCATAGTGAAATTACTCAGGTCAGCAACGACCTTGCGCGGCAGCACTTGATTAAATTCGTAGTATTAGTCTGCCGGCATGTTTATTCAAAAAATTGTTATTGTTAGGTAATGTTTGGTGTGTCTGATTGTTTGTCAATGGAAAATTTGTCAAGCAGCAATGTCATCGTTGCCATAATTTAATTAATGCCTCAACGCGTCACTAGAGATACTAATTAATATGGGAAAGTTCCTTTCCTCTTTGTTTTTGTTTCGATTAGGAAATACGCTAAACAAATAAGTGCATAGCAAATTTGAAAGTTAAGAAAAAGCAGTTTGCTTTTCAAAAATTCCATTCAAATTTTTATTGTTATGAAAAAATTCCATTTTATGAGTTAATTGGTTACAAAAGGCATTCAAGCCATCATTGGACTCAGTGTTTGTTTCCAAATTAGTCTACACAAAACAATAACATGTACAAACCGGCGAATTTGATAAAATACCTCAATTTTTAGTTTGCCGTCTCAAAAACTTAAACAGCAATGGCAATGAAAAAATACATACTTAGAGTCTTGAAAGCACTCTAAGCACATCGGACAATTCGAACTAATGTCGTGATGGAAACTGTACAGGTAGCTTCTAAAGCACCCATGTCCACTTATCATTTGGGTTAGGTGTTAATCCAAATTGTTAACCTTTTGAATCTCCCTTCTCCTTTGTCTTCTCTACACAGCTCTGATTGCTTGTATGTTGCTCGTATTTGGTACCCTAGATGTCAATGGACACAAAACTTCAGCAGTGGCACTTGATATTGTTCGAAAAGCACTGATAACTCTGATAACTGATATAACCGACAGCAGATGCACTGTGCTTATTTGCTTGGCTGATTGCATTAATGCCTAACTTTTAGATCCATATTGGCCCACATATAAACTAACCCATCTCGTTACCTTCTCCAGTAAAAATCACCGGCTGCTACAAACGCAGTCTTTATTTGCCATCTTTCTTGATTAGGTGTTGATAATTTTATTCGCTTTAGCTCCAATGTATACTAGGTGATCTTTAAATTTGAGTTAGGCTCTATTATTACTCCCAGATACGTTAGTTGTGGCTGTGAATGAATCTCACATTTCCCTATGGCGAGAGATACGAGTATACTGTACTTTCCTCCACTTTTCTAGTACTTATAAGCAAGACTTGTCTTTTGCTCAGCCAGTTCTAAACTTATTGAGGAGAACCATTGGCGCATACCATTTAATGCTCTGATTTAATTTGCTCCGGAGGCCATCTACGAATACGCCGAATATACCAAACGTTGTTTGAGATCAACTTCAAACTTTCGAAAAATATTCTCAAATAATATATACATGTATATTCGATGCATATATTTTTTGAAATTAAGTAAATAATATCTAGTTCAACATGTTAAATAGAGGCTAATCTATTTTATATTCTACTTACTTAATTTTTCTCACTAAAATACAGCATGTCATTAATAATGCGAACACTTTATTAACATATTTTTCATATATTAATATAATAATTATATTTTGGATACACTGCGCGTGCAAAAATGCCATTTTCGTTTTCCAAAACGTAGGTAGATTATATTGGGAAATTCTTGTAATTACAACAAAATAGCCAACATCTTTGCTGTTAAACTAAATTTACGCATATTCCACAAGAGCCAACTTCAAGTATGTTGAAGTTTCCGAATAAAATCTTTTACTGACATTAAGTTTTCTTTCTTTCATTAAAGATAAGATAAATAAGTGAGGATTACACCGCGACCTAGGGTCTATTGTGCCCTCTTTCATTAAAGCCCAAATTATTTATTGACGTCTGATGGTAACAATAAGTTGTCTTGTTTTTATTGAGTACAAAGTCTGCTCCTTTGTTTCGGCTCATAGTCTTCTTTCGGTATCAAATCATGATTATCTTTACCGTGAAGCATTTCAGCTGACTTCAGTAAACCCTTTCCACGCAATTTTATCATTTTAACGAAGTTGAAATTTTCTGTTAAGCTACTCAAACCCCCAAATTCATTATTATGTTGTCCAATCATGGTTATGCTTGCCTTTTTCAATATGTGTAAAATAGGAATTTGATGTTAATACTGCTGCATTTTTTGTTGATTCCAGATCTCAATATTGAATTTTTAGTTTCTCTCAGACTGAACAGTCATTTCTTCCCAAAAAAGAAAACCATAACTTTGTGCGCCATTTTAGATGACACGCGATTCCTCCTTCTTCCTGGCATATCATTTATGTTTCCAGTTTCTTCGTAAATAGTCAGACCATTCACAAGTCTACAACTTTGGGATGCTTCGTTAGAAAGCCTACCTGAACACATGCTCATTATAATTAATTTTCCTTAACAGGTGAGTTCGAAGGTCCTCATTTTGAAGAGGAAACATACAGTTGGAGCAAAATCTTTGCTTGATGATGAATTTCCGGACACCGCCCCTGAAGGCCAACAAGGAATGGTATACTAAGTTTAGACATGGTGAAATGCACACAAACGAGGGTGAATGCATGGACACCCAAAAGAAGTTGTTACCGACGAAAACATCCAACCACAAAACGATATGAAACATGGCACCATCATTTCACTCTGGAGTGGACTTCACATGACGAACCCGCTCCAAAGCGAGGAAATGCAATGAGTGAATGGGAAGGTGTAATTTTTATTGACTACCTTTATTTGATTATTGGACCGTTTAAAGGCGGAAATCTCTTAAAAATGGCCGCATTGAACAACAAATTGAGGTTTTATCAAGACACCGTGCCACAATACAGGAAAAGGGATGGCAAAACCTGTTAATATATGGTAGACAGTCAATCAGAAGTTGGAAAATCAATATATTAATTATATATATGAGGGAAGCACTGTACCGATTTTATTCAGTTGTAGAGCAATCCACATTATCAAAAATTTGAGAATATCATCATTTTGATTTCCAAACTGTAACATGAAGATGTCAAGGGCTATCATAAACAAAAAAAGTACAAGCATATATACCTATATCATTGATGAGTTTTATTTTCACAAACGACCTTTAGGAGAAAGCTATTACACTCTGCGCAACATGTTGCTTACGGGAACTCCTCAATACTTACTAATAATTTCTATAATTTATTATTTATAAATGTATTTGCGTACTATGTTGCTGTAGCAGCATAAAATATTCCTTTACCATGTCAACAATTTTTAACTGGTTTTCGTCCGTTTGGTAATTTGTAAATATTTATCTCGCTGAAGCAAGTTCGCTGCTTAAGTCTTTTGTTTGCTCTTATCAAAATCGGTTTAACTCGCTTGAACTCATATCAAAACCACCTTTTAAAAAAGTAAAACGTGACTTTTAGTAAAAGCTTTTGAAATGCAAAATGTTTCCATACTACCTATCCACTCCCCTTCCCTCTTCGGTCACAACACTTGCCACTGGTGCTGTTGAACTGTACAAAGCAGTGAAAAATAAGCGCGCTTAGCGTGAAAGTGTTAAACTGCTGTGAAAACAATAACATTTGGTGCAGCAATACAAACAGCCCAAAAATGCAAACTAAAGAATTAAAGCTCTTTAGGCGCAAAATTCTTTATAGCGAGAGTAGAGTACAAGAAAGAGAAAATGGCAAGAGTTAATAATGGATCTTTCGCCACAAAACAATCAATTGCATAGTAAAAATATTTGCGAAATTTAATAAGTAATAAATCTGCAGAAATCATGTCAATTTGTTTACATACTTTGTTTGGACCTTTAATTTTCGCTTATAGTTGTTGTTAATACATATGTAGTCATTCATGCCTGCGAGGCGTGAAAAATGTTATTTCAACAACTTACATACACACTTACATACATATACCTAAAGGCACATCCCAGCAACAAGAAAATGCATCTTTCACAATACATACTCAACAGAAATGTGGTTAGTTTAGATTCCCCTCAACATACCGGGGACAAAAGCGAGATTTCAGAGTCAAGAACTTGGATCATATTATTTATTTTAGAGATATGCATGTGATTCAATATCGACTAAAAGTCTAAATTTAAAGGTTCCCAGTATCGTTTTTTCTTATTCAACTTTACTGGAGACGCCCTCATTAAGTTGACTACATATTGGCAAATTGTAACCCGGGCCTTTCGATCGATAGATTGAAGTAAACCTTACTTCTGTGTTATTTTTACTAAGACAAAAGCAATATTTTGAACTATTTATCATCACAGACAAAAAACAACAGCATTCTCATGTATTAATATTAATCAAATTAGGTTATTTCGTGATCTAATTTTCCATATTCTTGTTATAAGTCAAGGACATTCATGCCTTTAGCGAATGACTCTGAATTTGTTCACTAGACTCATGGCATGATCTCGCGTTTTTTCTACTTCGTGGGCAGAAGAAGTTTCAAGGA